TGCATGCCCACAGGGCCATGCTGCGGCGCGATCTGTCAATGGCCGTGTATCTCGGACACGGCCGATGACAGATCTGTGTACCGACCCCGTTGCCAGGACCCCGTGACCTGCTGTGACCAATCACAGCAGGTCACATGACAGTTGTATACAATGGATGTCTTCCTTTCATGCCATCCATTGTATACAAGTGTGTCTAGCTGTGAATGGTCACAGCGATCACATGCACGAGCTGGGCCAATCACAGCCCAGCCGTGTCATGCGATTAGCCGTGGCCAAATCACAGCTAATCACAAAAAAAAAAAACCCTGAATAAATCGATTTCATTCAGGCAAATGCTTGCTTAAAGCAAAGTAATTCTTTGCTATAAGCAAATTATGTAAAAAAAAAAATCCGATCACTTCCCCAAAGTAGTACAATGTTACTATGGTAACATTATACTACTTTGGTCATAGTGAAATATGAAAAAAAAATCTTAAAAAAAGAGAAAAAAATGTAATAACAAATTTAAAATAATAAAAAAAAATAATAAAAATTATAAATTGTTTTCATATTGTCACCAGTCAGTGTCCCTGATCATCGCCATGCCAGTTATATGATGACGCTGTACTGCACTGGTGACGGTATGTAAAAAAAAAAAAAGTGAAAATAATTTTTTTAATCTCTTCATTTTCCGAAAAATTATGACAAAAGAATTACAACTTCAAAAAACTCGCCATGCCTGTTATGAAATACATCAGACTGCCTACTTTGCAAAAAGGGGTCATTTGGGGGATATCTGTACTGATCTGACATTCTTGGACCTCAAGAAATTAGATTGGTCGTCAGTACTTCAGGATTGATCAATATTCAGATATATCCCATAGTTTGTGAACTCTAACTTTCCTACAGACTAAATAATAAACACTGATTTGGATTATTTTCACCAAAGACGTAGTAGAATACAACTCGGCCTAAATTTATGAACAATTATTTATTTGCAAACTTTTATAACAGAAACAAAGAAAACCCTGTTTTTTTTTTTTTTTTAATTTTCTGCCTTTTTTTGTTAATTTAGCAAAAAATAAAAACCCCAGTGTTGCTTAAATACCACCAAAAGAAAGCTCTAGTTGTGTGAACAAAATGATACAATTTTAGTTTGGGTACAGTGCTGTATGACCGCGCAATTGTCATTCAAAGTGTGAGAGCGCTGAAACCTGAAAATTGGCCTGGGCAGGAAGGGGGTAAAAGTGCCCGGTATGGAAGTGGTTAATACTGCTTTAACAGTTGAGGCCAGGGGCGGACTGACCATTTGGAAACTCGGGCACTGCCTGAGGGCCCGGGGTCAGTAGGGGGGCCCATGAGATGCCCCTGGTACCTTTTTCATAGGCTTTTTTGAGTTTGGGCAAGGACACAGGGGCCCCATGATCTCCTATTGCCCGGGGGCCCCATGAGTTGTCAGTCCGCCCCTGGTTGAGGCAATTCCCTATTGCTTCCTATTGTGTCTCTGGGACAAGAAATGAAGTGAAATCTGGCAGAGTGGTGACCATTCCTTGCATTAACCAAAATCAACATGTTATATTTTGGGTAGACTGACTTGTTATTAGTTCTGTCTCCAATGGGAAGATGGATTCACATGTGAAATGCAGCATGTTCCGAACAGATATTTCTAAGAGCAAATAAATCAAAGTTTCTTCCTTCTCTCCATGGGGCCTTGCCTGTTATTCATCATGGCTGTGACACCAGCGACCCTGAGTGTGATGAATGTAAAGTTGGTACATTGTGGCGGAGGAGGATGTTTCCTCAAGGCTGTACACTGCATTGTTTTCCCTGCTGTACTATATATGTATTATAATCTGTACACAGCCAACTCCTTCTACCTCACACCACCCTACCCTTGTGTTCAGGCCTGCTGGGATTTTGAAGTGTTGAATAGTGTGTGGCCTTCTGTCAGTACATGTAGCCTTTGTTTGGTCATAAAGAGCTCCGTTCCTTATCTTTGTGAGGGGAGAGGTAACTGTACATAATGGAAATCTTTGGATGTATTCATTACACCTGTGCAAGAACATCACGAATGAACGCTAATCAGATTTCCTCCGTTACTAACGTGACCTCAGTGAACAATAATTTGTAGTTCAACCTTTTGGGTTGGGGCCTGTTTGGATTGACCCGGAAGTGTTTAGGAATTCAGGTATAACTAAAGGCAAAACTTTTTATTTTAACATGTTTTTATAGAGAATGGAGCGGGATTAGAACACCTGTCAAGTTTTTTTATTTCTGTCTGTGTTCCAGTTAGGGAGATTCAACCTCTCGATTTGACCTGTTTACCGAAAGTGAAAGAAAATTCCAAATCTTGGGTTGTCATCCAATGGGGACACTAGTTCTGGTGACAACCAGGAATTCCCTCACTTTAAAAGAGATTTCCTCATTTCCTGTTTTGGTCATGGAACAGGAAGTGAAGAGAAATGTAGCGCTAACCCTGTAGGGGCCGATGATATTTAACCAGTTCTTTCCTAACAGTACTGTTAGGATCCGCCAGGTGGTGCCTCAGGCTGCCCACTGGACAGACCTACCCAGAGCGTGGAGTCTAAGCCCGGTCTGTGCTTTCACCAGGGCCCCTGATGGTGGGGATGGACTTGTAACAGACCAGGGCCAGGTCACGACCTCCGAGCAGGCCCACCAGTGGCAGAGGGAGCCTCCGGGGATGTATGTAGGTATCGGGAGAGCCAGATGTGAAGAGGACGGCGGGACCTAGCAGGATGGTCACGAGCCATGGTCCCGTGGGGTAAGCGGGGTACCGAATCGGCAGGCGAAGAGTAGTCAGGTCACACGCAGGGTCAGCAGGATAAGTCAGTCCGCAGAATGGTCAGACAAGCCGGGGGTCAGAATAGGAGAAGGCAGAGTAGTCAGGGCAATCCGGGTCAAGGCACAGGAGAAGGCAGCATAGTCAGGACAATCCGGGTCAAAGCACAGGAGAAGGCAGCATAGTCAGGGCAATCGGGTCAAGGCACAGGAGAAGGCAGCATAGTCAGGGCAATCCGGGTCAAATCACAGGAGAAGGCAGCGTAGTCAGGGCAATCAGGGTCACTAAACAGGTACAGGAACTCAGGATCACAGATAGACCTTGCGGCAATCTGTGACAGTGCAGGGCATCTTTAAATAGTGCGCCCTGCACTGTCATTGGCCGGCCAGGACGCGCCAACGGGCTGTCATTGGACGCCTGAGGCGCGCCTGCGGCTCCTACTGCGCATGCGCGGCGTCCTGTCAGCCGCGGCCCGCCGGGACCTAGTGCCTGTGTCCCGGCGTGATCTGCCACCAGTGCGCGTGCGCCTGGAGAGGAGCCGCAATCCCTGACAAGTACAGAGGCTGCCCGTCCACACAAGCAGTCCATTCACACAGACTCCAATAAACAGTCTAGAGCAGGGGTGTCAAAATTAATTTTATCGCAGGCCGCATCAGCATTATGATTGCCCTTAACCACTTTCCGACCGCAGATAGCCGAATGACGGCTTCACTGTGGACGGCCAGTTCTGGGAGGGAGTCATATGATGTCCTCCCAGAACGCGCTCTCCCAAGTGGCACACACCTACGGACACAGCTGATCACGCGATGTGGTAAAAGGTCAATCACACCAGCCTTTTACCACATGATCAGCTGTCTAATGACACAGCAGATCACCGGTAAATCCATTTGCTCGTTATCGGCCGCGCTCTCCTCACACTGTCATAGCGTGAGGAAAGGACTGCCGATGACCAGCAATTGTCAGAGGACAGTGCCACCCACCAGTGCCACCCACAAGTGCCCAGCAGTGCCACCCACCTGTGCCCATAGGTGCCCAGCAGAAAGTGCAGGATCTGAAGAAGGACCAGAGGAGGGCTGGAGCCAGCTGCCAGAGCCTGCAGAATAATGAAACCAAGGAAAACAGAGACGAGGGGGTCCTGCAGCTGCACAGAGTGGTGCAGGATATGTAGGAGTTCTGTCCTACTCTGCTGCCAACTGCTAAGACAGAAGGGGCAGAGTCAAGGGGGGTGCCGCAGCTGACCTGGCAAGCCAGAGTCGGCCCACATTTGTGTTACACATGTAGTCTAGGGGATGTCTTTTAGTATTTTATTGCTTGAAGAACGTTAACAGGAGAGGGGAACTTGGGCATGGGATACTTCAAAACGCTCAGCAGTTACTAATAAGAGGACAATCTTCTCTAAGAGCAGTCGCTAGCATTAAATGGTCTAAGGCACCTGTCATGTTTCACATGACTGTCATATGCCTTTAAGTGTTCTTTGTATTTTGTCTCTGCTCCTCCCTTTCCTCTGGTTTAGTTCTTGCTGTATAAATAGCCCACCCCTTTTCCCAGTAATGCATTTCAGCTTGATGCCTCATGTCTTATGGAAGCAGATCACATTATGATCTTTTGACCTATCAGATGTTCTTTGTTGTAAGATTCTCTCAGTTTATGGAATAAACTTGACAAGACGTACAAGGTGTTATCCGATTGAGTCACTGCCTGTGTAATTCAACTAAGATTGGAGTTATCGCTATCTCATCACAACTGTAAATTACAGAGATTATACTTTGAATGCTTAGATTGGAGAGACAGAACAGAGCCATAGCTGAAGACTGTGGGGAAAGTCTTTGAACTGGCTTCTGAAAACCTTGTGCCAATGCAATACTGCTGGTACCCAGTGCAGCTTTCAGCACACTTCCCAGTCACAGGAATCAGTTTTAATGTCACTACTCAAGTCTTCAGGACAATTGCCACCTTCCAGCTTTCTCCAGACATGATCTCCTGTAGTATGTTTCTGCAATCGGCTCAAACCATACAGCATATACAGGAACAAATCCTCTCCATTTTCCTCCTGCAACTGGCGAAAGCTGTCTTCTGCTCCTCTCCCTCCTGCCTGAATTCAGGGGCTGCAGGAGGAAAATGTTCAGCATGCTATTCAAAATAAAACATTTGAAATTCTCAACAATTTAATTTCATTGTGGCAAGCGACAGTTTACCAAAAAAAGTCAGCAGCTACAAAAACTGTAGCTGCTGTATTTTAAAATGCAGCCACTTACCTGTCCCTTGGTCCAGCTGTGTCCTCACCACCGCTGGTTTCACTGGCCGTCTTCTCTCCCTGGCACCGGCATCTTTAGTGTGGGCACCCGGCTGTGACAGCTTGTGGCTTCACAGCCAGTTGCCCACTGCAAATGCGCGAGAAGCACTGCGCTTTGTGAATGGTCCTGTAGTCTTCTGGGACCTGTCACATGTCCCAGAAGACTATGGGGGGGTAGGACAACTTCCACTTCCGATCGCCTAGGTGATGGCAGCGGAAGTGGGGGCAGGTACCTGACCGCACCCCAAAGGTCTGCAGTCTCTGGTCATCTCCTGCACCATGTCCGCAGTCTCTGGTCATCTCCTGCACTATGTCCGCAGTCTCTGGTCATCTCCTGCACTATGTCCGCAGTCTCTGGTCATCTCCTGCACTATGTCCGCAGTCTCTGGTCATCTCCTGTAGTATGTCCGCAGTCTTTGGTCATCTCCTGCAGTATGTCTGCAGTCTTTGGTCATCTCCTGCAGTATGTCCGCAGTCTCTGGTCATCTCCTGTACTGTGTCCGCAGTCTCTGGTCATCTCCTGCACTGTGTCCGCAGTCTCTGGTCATCTCCTGCACTGTGTCCGCAGTCTCTGGTCATCTCCTGCACTATGTCCGCAGTCTCTGGTCATCTCCTGCACTATGTCCGCAGTCTCTGGTCATCTCCTGTACTATGTCCGCAGTCTCTGGTCATCCCCTGTACTATGTCCGCAGTCTCTGGTCATCTCCTGTGCTATGTCCGCAGTCTCTGGTCATCTCCTGCGCTATGTCTGTAGTCTCTGGTCATCCTAAGCAATATGATAGTGTGACAAGGACACACCTATCAGAAAAAGAAGGTTTCTAAATAATCCACGCGGAGTAATATGAATTCAAAGGAATTTTAACAATACTTTATTTGATCACATAGATCATAGGGAGGTTAAACATGAGCACGGTGTACATATGAAAAAAATAAAATCATGTTAAAAAAGCACTTAGCGTCTTCAATTTAGGGTCATCTTAGCCAACAGAGCACCATATAAGGCGGAGTGGTGCTCTGTTGGCTAAGATGACCCTAAATTGAAGACGCTAAGTGCTTTTTTAACATGATTTTATTTTTTTCATATGTACACCGTGCTCATGTTTAACCTCCCTATGATCTATGTGATCAAATAAAGTATTGTTAAAATTCCTTTGAATTCATATTACTCCGCGTGGATTATTTAGAAACTTCTTTTTCTGATAGGTGTGTCCTTGTCACACTATCATATTGCTTAGTATGCTGTTCTTTGGGTTTATGTATCCACACTTATACAAGTGAGTCGGAGATATGCTAATGACATCAGTAATTCGTGTCATTTTTGGTGGCCTGTTTTTGCTTTATTGTTGTGAGTCTCTGGTCATCTCCTGCACTATTTCTGTAGTCTCTGGTCATCTCCTGCACTATGTCTGTAGTCTCTGGTTATCTCCTGTACTATGTCTGTAGTCTCTGGTTATCTCCTGTACTATGTCTGCAGTCTCTGGTCATCTCCTGTACGATCGAACTGGATATCGTATGTACTCTCCAGCGCCTCAGGAAATGCCAAAAAGGAAGCCAAGAAAACCAGGACAGCGACATCCAAAGGAAATGCTTCAGGGGTGCAGCCCTCCTCAAACGGGGAGATCAGCCACTAGATAGAGAATAAACAGGTGGCACACACACCTAGTGCATTTTCCAAGGTTTATTGAAAGGTATGAAAGGGAAAAACATACAGACGAAGCATGTATCTAAAAAGCATTTGCATAATGACGATGGCCACAACAGCAAGCAAGGTGTTCCAACTGTCAGTGCGGTCAAATGGCTGACGCTTTTCGGGGACAAATACCTTTCCTCAGAGCTACTGACCAGCCTCTGGTGCAGATGTGTAGTCTATGGATGATGGGAGCCTTGCTGGTGATTCCTCATCACCAGCAAGGCTCCCATCATCCTTTCAATAAACCTTGGATAATGCACTAGGTGTGTGCGCCACCTGTTTATTCTCTATCTCCTGTACTATGTCTGTGGTCTCTGGTTATCTCCTGTACTGTGTCCGCGGTCTCTGGTCATCTCCCGTACTGTGTCCGCGGTCTCTGGTCATCTCCCGTACTGTGTCTGCGGTCTCTGGTCATCTCCCGTACCGTGTCCGCAATCTCTGGTCATCTCCCGTACTGTGTCCGCGGTCTCTGGTCATCTCCCGTACTGTGTCCGCGGTCTCTGGTCATCCCCTGCACTATGTCCGCGGTCTCTGGTCATCCCCTGCACTATGTCCGCGGTCTCTGGTCATCCCCTGCACTATGTCCGCAGTCTCTGGTCATCCCCTGCACTATGTCCGCAGTCTCTGGTCATCCCCTGCACTATGTCCGCAGTCTCTGGTCATCTCCTGTACTATGTCCGCAGTCTCTGGTCATCTCCTGTACTGTGTCCGCAGTCTCTGGTCATCTCCTGTACTGTGTCCGCAGTCTCTGGTCATCCCCTGTACTGTGTCCGCAGTCTCTGGTCATCTCCTGTACTATGTCCGCAGTCTCTGGTCATCTCCTGTACTATGTCCGCAGTCTCTGGTCATCTCCTGTACTATGTCCGCAGTCTCTGGTCATCTCCTGTACTATGTCCGCAGTCTCTGGTCATCTCCTGTACTATGTCCGCAGTCTCTGGTCATCTCCTGTACTATGTTTGCAGTCTATTGTCATCTCCTGTACTATGTTTGCAGTCTATTGTAATCTCCTGTACTATGTTTGCAGTCTATTGTCATCTCCTGTACTATGTCTGCAGTCTCTGGTCATCTCCTGCACTATGTCTGCAGTCCATTGTTTCAGAATATTTTTTTTTCTTGTTTTCCTCCTCTAAAACCTAGGTGCGTCTTATGGAGCAAAAAATATGGTAAGTTACCCACGCTCTTCAAAAGGTAGAGCACCCCTGTACTAAAGTAATAGAGAAATCGGAAAGAAGTATACAGATAAGGACATATTTTATTTTGGCTTTCCTGCACACTCCCAAGACACCACTGCTCACATACTCTTTAGTGCACCACAACACACAAATGTGAACCATACATGTACTGAGCCACTCTGCCTTAAAAAAAAAAAAAAAAGAATGTCGTCCCAGTATCCAAATAGTTGTACTGTGTCCTGGAGGATTTTTCTCTAGAACTACCTTATGTATTGGAGGCTACATGCTTTTCTGGCTCTATCATTTGCTGCCTAAAATGTTACTGTGTAAGATTTGGTAGCCAGGTGTGTCAGTTAGGCTACGAAGTGAAACAACAAGAAGCGCACCAACCTTGTGCATTACCTCAATAACCAAAATTTATTAAATGAAGGAAAGGTACTCACAAACAGCGAATAAAAACAGGCATGTAAGTCCACCCAGGGACTTCAAAGGTAAGAGGCCAGCGCGAATCCCATCATGGGTGTAGGTACTCAGTCCACCTGACGCGTTTCGAAGGTCATGCCTTCTTCCTCAGCTCTGAATGAATCAAGGTAAATAAATGTTTAGTCTTTACAACTACTTTCACCCATTTCCACCAGCCATACGAATATACGTGGCATCATGGAATGTAACTGTATCCTTTCACACTCCGGCACTGAGACTGCACTGTTACTGTAAGCTCCTGCTCACTGTTTGCAATCATGATCTGGTAGGTTGGGCTTCCAATCATGTGACTACTGTGACAGCCAATCACAGAGATCACATGGTTGGGAAGCCCTGAAAAGGAATCCCACCGGCCGTAAGGGGTTGAAGTTTTTGTAAACCCTAACAATGACATTTTTTGCTTATTATTGGTCTGTTAAACATACCATTTAATGTATTTTCTAATATTTGTTTGACAAGTGCAAAAAAATAATACCTGCTAGATACCTTGCGAAATGCCTGTGCTGCACTTATATCAGTCATAATGTTCCCGGTTGACCTCAAAAAACCTTCCAACTATCTGATGGAGATAAGAAGAGGAGGTGTTCTTGGGGACAGCACTGCTCCTCCATAGATACAGGGGGGTAAATGGGTGTTGTCGCTGGGGGGGACATCAGGCTGAAAAATGAAAGTGAAATCAGTCACAGCTTCTAAGACCTGGTAAACTGCAATATATTAAACTTTTGTACTTGGGTTTAGCTATGCTTTAAATTGCTTAAGTGAAACAAATTCATAAAACGGCAAAAAAATCAGCTTCCGTGAAGATAATCCTCAAATATACAAATTTATTTAAATTTTAGCTACCTGTAGTTATCTTATCAATCCTGTGCAATAAAGAAAATAAGTATGGTAGGCGGCAGTGCTGGAAGCGTAACACAATCACACTACCGATAATGTTGTAGAGCGTGCCTTATATACAAAGTTCATCAGGTTGGCATTTAATTAAAAAAATGGAGCACAATAGTGTTACAAGGGGGCAATATGAAGAACACTCAGACTTCTAGACACATTCATAAGTTCCATATTTACCAAAAGCCCTGGTGCTGCTGGCTGTAACTATTACAGGGTTAGTCTAAATGTCAGCTTTTTGAGAAGACAGTAGAGCCTAACAGTTTCTTCCATCTCTTGGGGATCCATGTTATTTATTTCCCAGGCCTGCACACCTGCTCCTACAACTACAAGGGACTGTACAGCTCTACAAACAACCACCCTGATTCCACCCACACTCTAACCATCTGACCAACCATGATAGTAAATAAAACCAGCAAACCGAAGGGTGGAAAATTATGGCTGCGGCCCCTTTATATGGGTTTTAAATCTGAATCTGAAATAACCTTTAACTTTTCATTCCATCAGATTGTTAACACAATACAGCCGTTAAAAACTTTCACCAAACCACCTGCTCAGTCTTTCAGGACTCCAACACCCAATATCTGTACCAGCCACCAGGTACCACCATAAACACTGTCCAACCACACCTGTGGGGTGATATTACCCCTGCTCAGTCTTAGGACTCGAGTACCATGTAACCATACCAAACCACCATAAACTGTGTCCGCCCGCACCTGTGGGGTGATATTACCCCTGCTCAGTCTTAGGACTCGAGTACCATGTAACCATACCAAACCACCATAAACTGTGTCCGCCCGCACCTGTGGGGTGATATTACCCCTGCTCAGTCTTAGGACTTAAGTACCATGTAACCAAACCACCATAAACTGTGTCCGCCCGCACCTGTGGGGTGATATTACCCCTGCTCCAGGGGCGGACTGACCATTTGGAAACTCGGGAACTGCCCCAGGGCCCGGGGTCAGTAGGGGGCCCCATGAGATGCCCCTGGTACCTTTTTAATAGGCTTTTTTGAGTTTGGGCAAGGACACAGGGGCCCAAGCATCCCCTATTGCCCGGGGGCCCCATGAGTTGTCAGTCCGCCCCTGCCCTGCTCAGTCTTAGGACTCGAGTACCATGTAACCAAACCACCATGAACTGTGTCCGCCCGCACCTGTGGGGTGATATTACCCCTGCTCAGTCTTAGGACTCAAGTACCATGTAACCAAACCACCATAAACTGTGTCCGCCCGCATCTGTGGGGCAACATTACCCAAATAAAGTTAGAGCTGCAAGGAAGGGAGGGGAGAT